TGCTGCTTACTCAAAATAGTTAATTCTGTGTACAGTTTTAAAATGCATCTGCTATTGTATGTCTACTAGAAAACTGATTTTCACACACATATTAATTATTTTGATTTTACTTAAATCATTTATTTAATTTACATTAAACAGTACAAATAGCGTATTGTAAAAGCAGTCCATGCCTACGAAGTACAAAGATCACTCAGGTCACAGAATTGCTCTTCATCTCTAAATTTTATAGACATGATAAGTACACAATTAGCCACACTAATCCAATTAAAGAAACTACTGAGATAACAAGACTAACGTCAAAGTAAAGTAATAGCAATAAAAGTAAGCAATAGGTTCTATATGCGTCCTAATCCTTGGGAACCACAGCAAGTAGCAATATCTGAACAGTCTCTCTCAGTAAATACAGTCCAGCCTCAATAACTTTTAAAAGCATCATTTACTTTAATCCATATCAACAGCTCATTATGTGCATTACAGCAAGTAAAAATCAGATTTCTATTAAAAAACAAAATGAAGAATGTAAACTTTAACCTTCCTCAAATCTTCCTCTACTGTAGTGTCATTAAAAGTTCTTGGTAATGATCATGGCAGTGAATAAAAAACGAAAGTGTTTTGATGGCAGTCATAGTAATTCTGAATTTTCTCTGCTCCTTGCTTCACTTGGGCAGTGTCCTTGGGTGAGGTGTATTATTTGCTTCTCATTAGGGCTTAGGAATGACAATTTCAACCCGCTAGTTGCCATGTATTAACAGTAAAGGAAGAGTGATTGTAGTCTCCTTAAGGTGTTACTTTTCTAACCCTGGATTCCTATAATATTATGACCTTATCATCTAACTTCATATGAATGTCTCTCAACTCCCACACACTTGGTCACAAAAGTCTTTTTCATTGTTGAAGCTATGTGCTAATGAGCTTGAGATTTCAATGAAAATTACTTAGCTAGATTCTTCTAGAGGGAAAGAAGGAAGGAGATATTCGATAAGAGGCAGAAAAGAATTTTTTTTTCAGTTTTTCAAGATCATTTTTTTAACTTTTATTAATTACACTTTATTCATTTTGTACCCTCCCATAAGCCCCTCCCTGCTCCCCTTCCGGTCCCACCCTCCCCCAAATGCATCTGAAAGTGGTGTACTGGGGTACCATTCTTCTAAGCTGTATGCACTAGGCAAGTAGAACTCTTTGAAAAAGAAAGTTATAGCCATTTACACAACAGCATTCATGAAACATGCTAATAAATTTTAAAGAAACAATATAACAGATAAATTGAGCAAACAACCTATAACAATAAATGTTTAATAGCCCATTGATCCATTTTAAACGTTTTTATGTAGTTGAAACAATCACCAAGATAAAATATTATTTTCTTTTCCCCAATGTAATCGTAAAAGGATAAAATATGAGGCATTTTGGTTTGTAGTCTTTGTCTTTTGTAGAATTAATCATTAAATGTTTCCAAATGTTCTACAATTTGCATTGGAAGATTGAAAGTTAAAGTATACTTATATGGAGTCAACAAAAATCAGGCTTACTTAATTATTTGTCAAAAATAAAAAAAAATCATGGAAGTATTTTAATGGATCACAGTACAAAAATTAACATTTATCTACTAATTTTAAGTATTAAGCTAATACTAGTATGAAAGACAGAAAAAAATAACTTCAAGAGGCTTTAGCTGTGATTAGTGTTTTACGGTAAAGTGTGTACTGTAAGTAGATACCATTTCTGCCTACACTGGGTACTAGTACTAGTGCCCCGACCCGCAGGACCTAGTAATTCGTGGGGTCCGAGAAGAACCAAGCCTGAAAGAAAAACGGGAGAGAGACAAGGAACGAGACCAGGCAATGAGTTGTCGAGGTCTGTTTATTGCTCGCTGGAGCTATACTTTTATATTTTTGAAATAAGGAAGCGACTACCCTCCCAAGCGGGAAAAGGGGGCAAATTATCTCTTGCATAAGTGGCACATTCCATGGCTCTTCCTGGGATCGATAAAATCAGTCAGGGTGGGGGTGGTTTAGCAACTTCTCGGGAAGTCCCCTCCAGGTGGTTGAAGTTGATTATATACCCAGGCGTCAGTAATTTTCCAGTTTCCAGAACTAGATGCCTGGGGCTCTTGGTCCCCGGCATAGTAGGAACGTGAGAAATTATTGATAGGTATCCTTTTACCCTGTGCAAATGAATGCTCCTACCTTTTATTTCTTCTTCCTAAAATGCACTGTACATTAGGCACTACTATCAACCAGAAGACAAAATAATTTCAACATTGAACATGGTAGTTCTTCCACTTATCAGAGGCTAGCCACCAGTTTCCGCAATGCAGACATGAACTCAGGCTTTGCTTAGGTGACAGTTTTCCAATTTCCTAGTTAAGAGCCTTGAGGACGCTGTACTAATATAAAGTCAGGAAAGGTGCAACTATGGTACTTAGTTCTTTTTCAAACGTAAAAATGTAGGACAGTATTTTAAAGAATCATAAACAAAAATGAACTTGGAAATGTAGATACTCACTTCAAATGTTAAACTAACACGAACATGAAAGCGGGAAGAGGAAACACTGAAGTCACTGCAGTCAGGAGGCTGGGGCAGAGGAGTCATGAATTTGAGGCCAAGATGAAACAATATGCATTTTGTGTGTGTTTATGTTATATGCCGTGTGAGCAGAAGGTATATGGATCTTCTAAGAGACTGAAGATGGCTTTGGTTTTAGATTTATTCACTTACTTCTCTTTTTTTTTTTTTTTTGAGGCAGGGTCTTCACGCCTATCCTTGTCTGGTATTGATTTCATAATTGTCCCACCATAACCATAACATTCAAAGTACTGGGTTGGCTGGACTGTCAGGAGACCTGGTTTCCACACATTTGAATCCCTTTATTTTTTGTTGAAATATGTCTCTTTTTCACTATATTCTTTGAGTCATATTTATGTCCCAATGTCTCTGGTTTTATGACAAGAATTCTCTTTCTCTTTCTGTCTCTCTTCTCCCTCTCTCTCTCCCTTCCTCTCTCTCTGTACCTTGCCCTCTTTCCCTTTCTCTCAACCACTCCCTCTCATGTGAGTACACATGTAGTAGGTATTTTTGTGGTTACTAATGTGCAAAGTGTGTGTGTGTGTGTGCCCACACGTGTGTGTTTAGACTAGAAGTCAATTTTCTTTCTTTCTTTCTTTCTTTCTTTCTTTCTTTCTTTCTTTCTTTCTTTCTTTCTTTCTTTCTTTCTTTCTTTCTTTCAGGTTTCTCACAGTCCTGGAGCTCAACACCTAGACTAGGCCAGCTGGCCAGCAAGGCTCAGGAGGCTTCTTACCTTAGTCCCCCTCAGGACTAGGATGATAAGCATTTCTCCATGCCAGGATTTTCATATGGGAGCCCAAAGGAGCATTCTGTCTCTGCCCTATACAAAGCTGAATTATTTGCGTGGACAAAAATTGGGAGCCAAATACTAAAATGATATAAACACTTAAAAATTCAAGTCTGTTAAAAATCATGAATGTTTTCATTTGCGTAATGAAAACATTTATAATATAAAGAAAATAATATAATTTTCTTTATAATATAAAAATATTTACTTGGGTAGATCATGGGTGAAAATGGAGAGTTATGTAGAAAATTGCTAGTAAAATATGTTAGAAACAGAAATGACTGTATGGTTTGAGGAAGAGAATTCCAGTGTGGGTGGTGATCATGGGCACCTGGGACTTTCATTCTGAGTCGTAGAAACCTTATGTCCAAAATGATTGGATATCATCAGTGCTTCTCCTCTTTTAAAGCTGATGCAGAAGGTTTTGTTTGTTTGTTGTTTTCATATTTCCCCTCCAAATTAACTAGTGCTCAAAATCCCAAATTCAGAACTATGGTAGGTAGGTAAGTAGCTAATAGGTATGTAAATATATAGTTAGATATGGATATGTAAACATATAGTTAGATTGTAAAAAAAGCCACCCTAACTATAGCATGTTCAACCAGCATTTACTTTAGATAGCTCTTAAAAAGCCCACAGAATATAAATGATAATAACAGTGTATTTTCCTATCAGATATGCTAAAATTCTAAGTAAGATGTTTTTAAAGAGAAAACTGATTATGATTCTACTCATATTTTCTTCAGATAAAAAGCTTAGCTACAAGAAATCCAAAAATCTTTAGGTGAATCATTTCTACCAGCTATAAAGAGGGATAGTACTGTTTTTGGTAAAACTCTTAGTACAAATTTTTGTCTGAACTTCTCATTACATTAATTTTCTATAATTACTATCATGTTTTCTTTTAATTTTCATTATTATTAGTTCTTATTATGTTAGTGCTGGATTTAGTAAAATGTTAAAATGGCTAATTGCATTTTCTATGTTAATTGTTTGCCTTTTATCGTTATAATTGTTCATTATTATTATTATGTAAGGAGTAGAAAAGTAGAAATTTTTATTTAATTGGTTTAATCTAATTTAATTGATTTAGTTTAATATTAAAAATCTGAATTATTTTTTCAGGGTATCTGCTCATTTTTTTAGACTTGAATTCATAGTGTCCATGTCTTTGTAAACATCTGGCAGCAACTAAACTGAGTTCACCAGTTGATTCATTTATTTCACTTTACAATGTTGGCACCGTCAGAGGTCAATGTTATCCTGATGATCCTGTTCAGCTCTGTGAATTCAGAAAAGTCCTGCAGTTTGTGCGCAGAAGCAATATTTTGGAGCAGCACAGCAGAGCTCTGGTTGCTATCATTCACCAAGACAAGGATGGCCCTGCACATGAATTTTAGAAAATATGAGTCCCAGTCATTCACCCAATGATTCTCCTATGCTTATAGTGGCTAGAAATTGCTCATTTCAAACATTCAAGTGTAGTTTGGATATTAAGAAGTGGCCTTAAGAACTTATAATCACTGTCTTTTTTTTTTTTTAAATCTATTGTCCCCTGTGCCAATGCAGAGGACAAGTGCTCTGATACAATCAAGTCAAGGATAGTCCATAATGTTTCTTATTTTCCCTTTTTCATCTTTCACAGAATTTCCAACTTGTGAGCCTTTAACTCAGTTCGTATGCAAGAGTGGGAGATGCATCAGCAGCAAATGGCACTGCGACACTGGCAAGTACCAAGTGCTCACTGCAGAGCACTGACCAGAAGGGGGCCCAGATGTCTGGGCTGCCTGGCTTCCTTCAAAGGGAGTTTGCAAGCAAGTCTTTCACAGCCAAGCAAAGTGGCTAAGAAAAGTGGTGAGCAGGAAGCTGGCTTGTCACTGGGGATCAGTGTTAAGGATAATGGAGCATGATATTTGTCCCTCGGGACTCTGATAGAGCTTCATTTTCAGATATTATTCTGGACATAAACTAAGTGTGCAAAGATGAATAAAGGGAACAATTAAGGAAATGACCTGGACAATTCAGGTTCCCAAAGCATTTATGTAACATTGACAGTTTATGAATTATTATGCAATTATCCAGAAGACCTTCGCTCTGTCACCTTGCTTTTTATGTACAAGTATTTTGTTCTTATATGTAATTGTATCACTATGCCAAGTCATTCTAAATGCAGGTAAATGAATCATATATTAATCAATGTCCTTTAGTTTCATTTAATTCACCATCTTTTTATCTTCCCTTCCTTTCCCTCTTACAATTGTCAATACTGAGCATAAATCATTTTTAATGTGGATATATAGTTTTCACATGTGAATCCATATGTGAAATGGATTGTGAAGGTAGCAGGGAAAGAATGAACAATAAACCATCATGCCAGAGAATAAAGACAAAGGCATGGAATAGAAGATACAGCTACAAGTTTTGAAGCACAGAGATGATAGCTTCAAGTAATAACTTCACCACAATTCTTTTCCACTGTATCACTTAGCATTCCCATAGTCACTACTTCCCTCTTAACTGTTGTCGAAGAGAGGCAGTTAGTCAGTGTCAGTTGCCTCTAAATGAATTAGATTTTAAACTGCAAAATCCAAAGTCAGTGCTTTCTCTTGGTTTAGCATTTACTGCTAAATCAGAAGAAATGTATAAAATGTATAACAGGAGACCAATTGACTTCATTGGGAATGCTGGTCATGAGAATTTATTTTTCCTTTTCCAAAATCATGCACAGAAAATATAAATGTAAGAGAAATGTTCATCCACATTAGTTTTTACTAGCGTGTGGTGTTTCTTTCCAGAGGATGACTGTGGAGATAGGAGTGATGAGGTGGGCTGTATTCACTCTTGCTTTGAGGACCAGTTCAGATGTTCCAGTGGCCGGTGTATACCAAGGCATTGGGCCTGTGATGGTGACAATGACTGCGGAGACTTCAGTGATGAAACACATGTCAATTGTACCAAAGAGGGTCAGTAATTTTCTAAATGTATACAATCTCATTAAAGATTGATAGTTAATTAAACTATTTAGAGTTATATTAAGTCAATAATAATTGCTCATCACATTGAGAATACACAAAAAGAACAGGATAAAATAACCACTGACCTCTCTGCTCTTACCTTTTCCTTTCTTCTCTATGCTTTCTTACTTCAATGGTGTCCACTATTTTGTTTCTTTCTGTGCCTTTTGCTTTCTGCATTCCTTAAATATTTGTTATCATTATTCTAACTTTCTACAAATTCTAAAGTTTCTCAAAAAAGAACCAAAATTATACAAAAAGATAATTTTACTTTAATATTATGTCAAATCTGTTTCCTTGAGAATTGAGATAAGAATTTAATAAATAAGTCTAATACCCCACATTTCCTTTCCAGCTGATTAACTATCCCGAATGAAATGAAAGAGAGCAAAGAGCTCATGCCTGTGGTCCTCAGTAAATCTATGTTAAAGCAGACGATGCCAATAGTATGCATTGCTTTACAAAATATAATCTACAACCAGGCATGTTAGTGAATGTCATAATTAAGGTTTTGTTATTTATGAGACCGAGTATTTCTTATAAACATTTAATTGGGGCTGGATAATAGTTTAAGAGGTTTAGTCCATTATCCTCATGGTGGGAAGCATAGCAACATCCAGGCACACATGGTGCTGGAGAAGGAGCAGAGAGTTCCACCTCTTGATCTGCAGGAGCAGAGGAGACTGTGTGTCACACTGGTCATAGCTTGAGTATAAGAGATCCACAGTGACACACTTCCTCCAACAAGACCACACCTACACCAACAAGACCACACCTCCCAATAGTGCCACTACCTTTGGGCCAAGCATTCAAGCACAGGAGTCTATGGGAACCAAATTTATTCAATCCACCACAGGAAGTTAAAACAACATAGTAGTCATTGAAAAGTATTAGCTAATAAAACAATAACAAAAATTGTTATCTTTATCATTCAACAGACAATTTCTATTAAGAATTCGTTTATTATCCCAGGAACAGAGAGACACACATGGTATATACTCACTTATATAGACCTATAAGATAGGATAAACATACTAAAATATGTGCACCTAAAGAAGATAAACAAGAAAGAAGACCTAGAATAAGATGATCAATCCTCACTTAGAAAGACAATGGGATGGACACAGGAAGTAGGAGAAAAGAAGTAACAGGACAGGAGCCTACCACAGAGGGCCTCTGAAAGACTCTACCTAGGAGTGTATCAAAGCAAATACTGAGACTCATAACCAAACCTTCAGCAAAGTTCAGGGAATCAAACAATAAAAAGGGAGGTTAATATGACCAGGAGAGGACAGAAGCTCCACAAGGACAAAATATATCAGGACATGGGAGTCCTATATGAGACTGATACTCCAACTAAGGACCATGTATAGATATAACCTAGGATCCCTGCTCAGATGTAACCCATGGTAGCTCAGTAACCAACTGGGTTTCTCTAGTAGGGGGAACAGGAACTATTTCTGTCATGAACTCAACCACTGGCTCCTTTACCTCCTCCCCCCCCCCCCGAGGGAGGAACTCTCTTGCTAGGCCACAGAGGAGGATGTAGCAGCCAGTCCTGAAGATACCTGATAAGCTAGTGTCAGATGGAAGGGGAGGAGCAGATGGAAGTGCCCTAGCAGTGGACTTGGAAACGGCAGGGAGGAGATGAGGGAGGGAGGGTTGAATTGGGAGGGAATGAGGGAGGACTATGAAAACTAAAAATAAAGAAAAAAGAATTTGTTTATTAATTCCATAAATATTTATTGAGTACTAAGGGATAACTAAAATGATTAAAAACCCATGGCCCCTCTCTAAATAGGTGGAATGCACATGGACAAACAATAATGGGCTTTATTTAAGGTGGTGGAATCTAAAGAATCACACTGTAAAAGCTTAGTTTTCAAAGGTTTTCCTGAACAGATGCATATGTCTTCTCCAACATTTAACAACTCACGTGACTGTTAGTGTCCCGAGGATTTTCTTCCACGTGGTATCCTCTCTGTCTTTGGAAATAGGGGATAGCTCTTCATACTAGGTTTGTAAAAGAAGCCCTCTGGCTTTTGTGTGAATTTGCCAATTGATTCACTTTTATTTGGCCTGTAATTCAAGAATCATAGGCATGATCCAAACATGGTTCTTCAGTGTCCCTAAGCTCTGAGACAAGGAAACATGAAAAAACACATTGTTGGTCTTGACATGATTACTAGGATTTTTTGAGGGGTGGGGTGAGGTAGGGCTTGTACAAAATAGAAACTAGACAGGAAGCAGAAAATCACTTAAACCTTTTTCATGTTTATGTTTGAATTTAATTGTCTTCAAATCAGGGAGATATTGAATTATTGATAGACCTAATATTAAATAGTATCTATCTCATCTTTCATTATGCAATAATGTCCTATCCTCTCTTCATTTCTTTACCATGCCTCTCTCAATGTATTTGTTTCATGCAAATATGTGAAATGAAATTTCTTGTTATTAACTAAGCTTAAAAACATTGCATGTGGGATTTTTTCTTTGTTAATATAAATATTTGAATCATTCATCTGGAGGATGGTTGACACCTCATTACTGCACTGCAGTTTAAATCATTTGCCCTTCTCACATATGTCTCTTCAGGCTTCTCATAGGGTATGCATCTGTGGCCTGCTGGCAATGCCCCATAATATGCTTTGAAAGATAAATTGCCCCAAGTTTACTTGTTTTCATCAGAGAAATAAGATCCTATCCCTCTTTTTTATGCATATTTGCTGCAAGTTTAAAAAAAAAACACAGCATATTAAGAAATTTAAAGAGATATTTCAGCCTCACAAATACCCACAGCCTCTTGTAGACTCCAGAGAGTGTTTCCTGTTGGATTATCATGTAAGATGGCATTTGAATGTCAATAATCTACTTTTGCAAAGGGACTCAGTTTCCCTATATGTTGCTGCTTTAAAGAGCAAATTGGCAATGTACACTTCTTATGTTGTAGAACACTGAGGAAATGATTGAGCAAATCTGCATGATTTGTGGAAATGTTTCAAGAAACACAAGAGAACTTATTTTAAGTTTCATTTTTATTTTTAGTGTGGAGTTGTAAACTATAAAAGGATTCTGTAACCAAACATGCTATATGATGAGGACTGGGCACAGGATTTGAGTGAAAATCACATTCTAGGATGGCTTTAAAGCAAAACATTCCAGAGTATTTTGAATAAAATTATTTTCATTCTCTATTATTTTGATTATACTTTCTGGTATAGAAGCTATGATATAATATTGCCATAGAGAGGGAAAATTAATATTATACATAAGACTTTTGAGGTTAGTGACAAGGTAAAGATTTTAGGTAATTAGTCATATAATTCACTTTCAAAACCTTCTGTGGAAGAAAGAACAGAAGTTCTGGCTTGAGGTTGAAGATTGCCTGTCAAAATTCATTAAATCCCCCAAATAATTGCTCAGCCTTTGCTGTACACTTCCTGGAAGACAGAACATATGGTACAACCCCTCTTGAGTCAAGTTCCTTTCAAAGGAGGAGCGCAGTACACAAATGGAATTTTGCATATAGAATCTCTATTTTATATCATTATTACTCTGTGTTCGCTCTGACATCAGAGAGGAAGTCTGTCTCTGGCCGTTGTGATAGGCAACTCTAAGAGTAAGTCTCTTCTGGCTCAGTGAACATCTATCCTTATGTCTGTTAATTTTATGTTATTCAGCTTTCTCATTTTATAATTTAGTATAGTCAAAGGACACACAGCATCTTCATAAAGCTCTATTTTACACACACACACACACACACACACAAGTCAGAAAGGAAAGGTGAGACAGAGAAGGAAGTAAGAGAGAGAACATATGAGAGAAAAGGAGAGGGAGAAAAACGAGAAAATTGTAGTAGAAACCCACCCACTTGACTTCTTCCCCTTCCTTGCTTTGGATTCTGTCTCTCATCAATTGAACTCTCTGTTTTGTTCTATTCTATTTCTTCTCTAGTAATTATGAACTTTGTGTGTTTTAGTTGTCTTAGGTGAATTATATATAAAATGGGAGAAGTACCTAAGAGTTCAACCATGGCTGTTTACCTGTGTACTGAAAGATTCATACAAAAAGGTGGTTTATATGTGTCTTAATTACTTTCCAATTGCTGTGACAAAGAACTATGACCAAGGAAACTTAGTAATGAGTTTATTGGGGGCTTAGTGTTTCAGAGGATGAATCCATCACCACCAATGTAGGCAGCAGACAGGTAGGCATAGCACTGGAGCAATAGCTGGGAACTTATATCTCCTATACAAGCACAAAGCAGAGAGAAAGAGAAAGCAAGAGGGTGAGGAAGGAAGGGAGAGAGAGAGAGCATGCTCCTTGGCGCTAAATGGGAATGGTGGCGGCTTTTGAAACTTCAATCACTGCTTCCCACAATAACCTACTTCCTCCAAAAGAGCCAAACATCCTAATCCTTCCCAAACAATTTCACCAACTGGGGACCAAGCATTCAAATAAATGAGCCTTTGAGGGCCATTCAATTAAAACTGCTATAACATTTAAAGATACAAAGTGAGATCAATCTTTCCTTTTCTCAAGTGTGCAGCTCTGTAGGTGAAATAATAAAATAAGGACATTTTTGACATGCATAAATACAAATGCATAAAGTAATGCAAATAAATACAAATGCATTAATTTTTATCTCACTTTGACAGTTTAATTTATTTAAATTTTATTCTACTCATATGCTATTTTTCAAAATCTCAATTTTATTTCAACATTGTGATATAAGACACTGCTAATATCTTTATGTGATTATTTCTCTGTTGGTCTCCTCTGAAAATATTTTAAAGTAGATATCTAATAATTTAGCATATTCATGATGGAGGAAGTGACAGGTTTTTCTCAAAATTCAGATTTCCCCTAAACTTTATAGCTTTGCTTTTGATGTTTTTTTGTTGGTTAACATGATGCAGTTCCCACGGAGAGTTACCCCAACCCCT